AAAAGGATCTTTGTTATTCTTGAAGAATGAAGGGCAAAGGGATTGATCAAGAAAGATCTTTTGTTCTTCTTGTATATAAGATCGTGATTGGATCCGCATATTTTTGGTAAAGCGAATAATCTTATTCTTTGAGAGGCATTAGTGCTTTACTAATAACATATATAAGGCTGACTTTTTTCAGCTTGATCGGAATCGATTCTATGATTGAATAGCAGAAGTGCTACTTAGTAGTAGAAACTCGGAGAGACAGACAGAGAGGGGACTCTTTCATACCTGCTAACTCCTAGGATGATAAGTAGGTCCCTTGTTTTTGGCAGGAAGAGTTCCGGCCTTTGTTGCCCCTCGATAGAGTGAGTCTACTTAGCGAACTGGCAGGAACGGAGATCTATTGATCAATATGAATAAATGCGATAACGACCCAGGAAAATGGTGAAGTACGTGAATCGACTCCCTATTCGAGTCCAGACCTTTTAACATAAAATAAAGAATAAGGGACTGACTTCTTTCTTGACAAAGATCCTGAATAAATCGCACATGCTCCAAGAACTTCGCAAAATTATTAGGCACACATGTGGGTTATGGGTATACCAAGAGAAATGCGGGTAAGCAAAGTATTAATTTATTTCTCAGGGCAAGGGTCTAGGGTTAATACCAATCAATAAAAAAATTGGAACAACTTTGTAAATATATTTTCGGTATGGAAATCGAAAGAATCCAATTTAAGCAAGTTTCCAATTCAAAAATTTCTTGGAATTGATCAAACTTTTTCGATCCAAAGTGTTTCACGCGGGAATCCATCGTCTGTAGGATTCTTTCATAGAAATCGCAAAAGGGGTATGCTGCTGCCATTTTGAAAGGATTAAAAAGCACCGAAGTAATGTCTAAACCCAATGATTTAAAATAAAACAAAGATAAAGGATCCCAGAACAAGGAAACACCTTTNAAAGTAATGTCTAAACCCAACGATTTAAAATAAAATAAAGATAAAGGATCCCAAAATAAGAAAACATATTTTTTATTGTCTTATTAACCGGATTAGACTGAAGAATCCAAATCCATTTTAAACGAGATAAACATAAAAAGAGGAAAGACCGCTCAATAAATGAAATTGCCAAAGGATTTTCCTTTGATAAAAATTCCAATTTTCACTTTAAGATGAATTTTGGAAATTTTCGAAAATCTGAAAAACTCCAAAAAGCTGTTTTTCAAAATTCACTCAAATCACTCACAAAAATTTAAAAACAATCCAAAATTATATTTATGTCCAAACACAACTCTAATTTTTAAATACTATTTTTACTTGAATTTTTTTTTTCGGAATTTTACAATTATTATGTCCAAACGCCCACTTAATACTCCTATAGTGACTCTTTTGGAATTAGGACTTCATATATTGTTGTAAATATTTATGGGAATTGGTTAAAGAGGAGACTAATGAAACTAATTAAAAAGAATGAAGAAAAGCCAAAGCAAGTTAAGTACCTCAAGCCATAATTGAGTACGAGGGGAAGGCATAATATGCTTAAGAATTGCGTCACTAAGACACGGCAACTTTCACATACGCAATTTGTCTGCCTTAGACAAGAATGTTTTGCATGATAAGATATTTTAGGCACTATTCAGATAAACCTCCCCCTCCGNACATTGTACAATAAAACTACACCCAAAACTCATACAAATAGACAAGATACATCATACAAGGCATAGTTCATTTTACGTTTTGCTCTTTATTGGCTTTATTTGGGAGATAGGCACTCCAGGTGCCTAGATTTGTATAGTTATCTACTAAGGTAATAACAGTTAACAACTCATAATAACTCGAAAATTAACGAATATTTGTTGGAAGGGATATTGATATTTCTTACCTTTTAGATTTATGTTGTTTTTATTCTATCACTACGCTTATCTAACCAGAGGCGGACCCAAACTTTTATACATGCGGATTCAGACCTTAAAAAGAAAATTTGCTTATATATATATATATATATATAAAAGATTAGGTATATATATAACAACTGATCTATTTACCTTTACAATTTGACAAGTTATTAAACTTCAAAAAAATATACAAATTGTATTGTAACAAACATAAGTTTGATCTATATTTACAATACTAGACTTTATTTATTAATTTTACTTTAACTTGCACTAATTGTTACAAAAAAAATTAGAAAAGAGCTAAGCTAAATTAATAATTTCATAAAGAAAGTTCATAACTATGGAAAGAGATTATTTAAAACTAACAAAAAAAGAAGACTAAGAAGAAGTGATGATAACGAGTTTGAAAAAGTAAAAAGAACCCAAATAATGTTGAAGTTTGGGTTCAAACACGCCACCAATTGCAGAAGTTGACCCCGATTGAACCATCCGACCAAGGCACAACTTTGGTTAAGTCAACTGCTTTATTTTTATAGCAACTTTTTTATTTAAAAAAGAATTTACACACATAAATAGTAAAAAATATTTACGAAGCGAATTCAATTGAAACTCTTGAACCAATGTGGGTCCGCCCCCTGTATCTAACAAGTGAAACAATATAGTATACAAATTGTTTGAGATATTAACATTATACCATGTTTGCTGTTGAAATAAACTTTATCAGGAAAAAAAATATTAAAGTTTCTTTAACCACAAAAAAAGTAAAAGATAGGAGATGTTAAAGTTCGTACACTCTATATGCATGTAAAAATTAAAGACTGTAAAATTTCCTCTTTGTTTGTTTAAGTATTCCTCTTAGTTACAAACTTAGATGATTAAAAAAGATACTTTCCATTACATACCCCTTTTTACCTTTTCTCGTATTTTGCACTGTCGCGCAAAACATATCATTCACATTCTAATTAAACCAAATAAAATTCATTTAAGAGGGTGGTCCTAAAGACAAGAAACGCGACCAGCCTTTTGAGTGCAGTATGGTTTTTACGTCTTTTATTTTATTCCCATGTAATCCTCTTTCATCGAATCACGTTACAATAAATTAAATATTGAGCGAGTATCATAAAATTTCCCTAAACTATCACGTTTTTATCAGTTACATACTTAAACTATTCGGTGTCCCCAAACCCCCCTTTAACTATATCCCCCTATATATTAAAAAACCTTCCGTCAATTTTTTTCAATGAAATATGTAAGGTAACTCGCCGAAAGGCTCGTGGGGATAAAATTATACATAAAAATGGTCTTAATTGGCCGTTTCTAATGGTTAATTACTGTTACCTTCTTTAAAAAATTTAATCTTTCTATTCTTCCTCTATTTTTTTTTTTTTTTTTTTTATATTCTAGCCTTCTTCTTCATTTTATTTTTATTTTTATTCTTCCTTTCTTCTTATGGATTTCATCTAGAAAAAATCCATTCTCTTGTTTCTTCTAAAATTATCTTTCTTCTTCATTTAGGTCTTCTTCTTTCAATACTATTTAGTCCACCAAAAGCCCATAATTTTTTACCAAACCCTAATTGAAATTTTTACCAAACCCTATTTTTTTCCCCAATCCTCATATTAAACTAAAATTTCCAATGAAAACGAAGGTTAATGAAAAAATCCAATGTTTAATCGAAGTTTAATAGGGAAAATTATGATTGAGACATGGTATAGCCATTACGGAGGAAATGGAACAAAAATTTTCTTTTTACAAATGATCATGTGTTTATCCCTTTACCCTCTTTCTTTGATTTTTTAACCTCCCAAACATTTACCCATTTTTATTATTTTTATTAGTAGTTAAAATTCTTAATTAAATTGATATTTAGATTAGGCTGAATAAATAGAAGGATGTATCACACGCACCACTAAAAAATCGACGAGGGATTTTAATATATAGGGCTATATAGTTAAGGAGGCTTTTGGATACACCGAATAGTTTAAGTAGATAACTAACAAAAAAAAATGATAGTTTAGGGGTTAGGGTATTCACACTTAAATAGTTGATAATTCACATACCAATCACAAAAGTTAAACACAAAATTTAAACATACAATAAATTAGACCCTTATTAGTCTTCTTACATACTTGTAATTTAATGCGAGCAGCATTTAGCACTACCCCGTTCGATTAAGACACAAACCATTAATCTAGAATTATCTCTGTCATTGAATAATCATATTGATAACATGTATCTTTGCATCTTTCAGCAATTACATGAAAAGAGGAATTTCGCTTTTCTTTTCTTTGTGGCTTTGGACGACAATTTATACAGTATATGGCCAAACTTTTAAAGTCAAACTTATTTTGAAAAGTATTTTTCAAAAAGTATTTGATATACATTTGTACTTGGCTAATCAATTTAAAAAGTAATTTTGAACATCAATTAGTGTTTGGCTAAACTTTTAAGAAACGACTCTATGTGTATTTTTTCAAAACGTGCTTTGGAAAAAATTATTTATTCAGCTTCTAAAAATATAGTTTATGTTTCTACTCAAAATCATTTTTTTTTCTTCTAAAAGCATGGCTAAACATCTTAATTTTGGAAAGAAAACATTTTTGCCACAAACAAAAAAAACACTTTTGGCAAAAAAAATAAATAATAATTTGTCAAACAAGCTAGTATTAAACTATCGGAGTAATAACTAGGAAACAAGAAAATGAAAAAGCAACAAAATTCATCTGACAACGAAGTCTTTGGTAATAAAAATATACTACAGGGACAGGCAGAATATTCTAAGGAATTATCCTGTCCATAAAAGCGCTTCATTCTATCATATGCTGATTTATGGTTTTCTTACCTTCCTCAATTTCACTTTTCTAGGCTCTTTATTTAACCTGGCATTATTACCTCAATTAAAACATAGCGCTAAAGTTATTTTTGTAACTACTCCCTGTAGATAGAAACATAAATATGTATTCATATAGCAAAATTACTGAATTTGTGAATGAGATAAGCTGCCTTTCATTCTCAACGAGTAGCCAAAGCCAAAGAGCAAGGAATTGGAATAAGCCTTAGTAAGACTAACCCTTTGACGAAGCTTCAATCAAAATACAAGTATATAATCTATGGAAAATGAAGACGAGCAATGGAAGTCTATAACAGCTTCAATCACAATGAACCCGTAGCGTGTTCTACATTTACACAAACTGGGTCAAGTGATTGGCTTACATAATTTACAATATAAACAGATTTCTTCTAAGATCGTGCAGCCTCAGGACAAGTAAAAAGCAGAACACCAGAATTCAATTGGAAAAACAATCAAGAGAACTGAAATGGTAAAACAGAAAGCAAAGGCTAGTTCCTTCTTCTGGTCCAGGAAGTACCGTGTCCAACAGCCAATCATGTGATCAACTATGAAAGAAAACTTGGAAAATGATCCTTATTGGCAAGTGGGAACGAACACGATATTACTCCTAATTTCTTCTACGGCCACTAGACAACGGTTAGATTCAGACAAAATAGACTCCGGAATATGAGATGAGTTAGGAAAACATAATTAGGAAAACTAGCTGAAAATCCATACGAGCTTGCACATAATTAGGTACATTCTAATTCCTCTTCCACGACAAAACTGCGATTTTAGCTAGAAATTCTTGACATAGAACAACACTATAGCAGATGCATCCTCTCGACACAAGGTTGGACCAACCATCTAGTGAGAGGCTCCCCACAGCCCACAAAGCACCCTGAATTCCCATTCTGAGTTAAAAAGGGGAAGCCGAACATGTTAAGCAACTCCTGTACTGCCTGCCTCACCAAAGAGGATCCTGTCACACGGCTCCTACGACCCCATCCTGTCACAATATCAATGCGGCTTGGACAAATTCCAGAGATAAGCATCTGTCGGCGAAACCAGGCAAGTGTTCTTGAGAGTGCTATTATAGCAGTTCCATCTGACATCACATGGAGGTTTATAAGCCAATAACAGGAGCTTTTCTCTCTAACTGCATCAGGGTAGACATTCTTGTGCGCTGCTACCTCCCAGACAGATCCAGCTTCCTCCTTCAGCCCTGATTTGTGCATAAAATCAACAACTGCATCAACAAGACCCCTTTTACTCTCTCTGTCCTCGCTGTGCATCAGATCCAAAAAGCTGCTAACATGATCCCTCACATTCTGCCCATCAGGTCCTGCTGGTGGCATGGTTAGAAGGAATGCGTGCGCTGGGTGGCGTGTGACTGCCATCAGCTCACAACAAAAGGACATGTCAAATGATGTTTGAGCTTCTGTGCAGCAACTGAGGAGCAAGGTATAAGTTTGCAGAGAAGNGGGTCCTGCCGGTGGCATGGTCAGAAGGAATGCGTGCGCTGGGTGGCGTGTGACTGCCATGAGCTCACAACAAAACGACATGTCAAATGATGTTTGAGCTTCAGTGCAGCAACTGAGGAGCAAGGTATAAGTTTGCAGAGAAGGGTTTAGACCCAATTCAAGCATGCTTTGAAGCAAGTTGTACGCATCTGGCAAGCGGTGAACCCTAAGGAAAGCACTCAGCAGAGAATTGCATGTAGGCACATTGGGGCACAAACCTGCATTAATCATGGCACTGTACCAGTTCCAAGCTTTTTCTACATTCCCGGCCTTTCCCCATAAGTCCACCAGAAGACCATAGACAGGCTCGTCAGGCACCCAGTTCTTCCTTTTCATCTCTGTGAAAACTGCCTCTGCTTCCTCCAGATAGCCACAATGGCCAAGCACCTCCATTACAATGCTGTATGTCACTTTGTCCGGCTCAAATCCAGCATTCTGCATGTCACGATATAACTGCAATGCACTAGAATAGTTCCTCGCTTTCGCATGCAAAGCAATCATAATGTTGTAGGTCACCAAGTTTGGTACACATCCCTGATTAACCATCTCGCAGAACAGTTTGTGGGCAGCAGCTAAGTGGCCTGCTTTTCCAAGGCAATTGATGATGACACTGTAAGTGAATGTGTCTGGAGAGAGCCCAGCCTCTTGCATCCTTTCATACAAGTCCATGGCAACATCAAGATAACCAGCTTTCGCATGGATGTCAATCAGAGTACAATAGGTTACACGGTCAGGATCAACTCTAGCTTCCTGCATTTGGTTAAAGACATGTAATGCTTCACGCAAGTAGTTTGCTCTGCCATAACTGTGAATGAGACGGTTATATGTCACTACATTTGGTTGACACCCATCTTCGACCATCTGCTCAAGCAACTTGTTAATTACCCCAAACTGCCTAGCACGTCCCAGGAGGCCAACCATGGTGGTATAGGTGTGTCCGTCGTGCTTAAATCCTGGTTGTCGCTTCAACCAATAGAAAAAGCCAAGAGCGACTGTATGATCGTGGATCTGCTTAAGAATTTGGTTTGCTTGGTATGGATCCAATAAACAGTTGAGTTCACGAAGAGCATTTTCTGTCTCAGAACCCCAATTTAACTGCTGTAAAATGCGAGAAACTGTTCCAACAACATGGCCACAATTAGAAAACTGCCTGACCATTGGAACAACTCCTGCATTTTGCAACTTTGTTTCTCGTGGTGGCCTGCTGAAACCTTCAGGAATTTCATTCTTAAGCTTTCCTTCAGAGACACGTACATTTGCCATGTTACGATTTGGATATGATCTTGACTTTGGAGGCACTAACCTCCTCCTGTCACGAGAATCTGTGACAACTCCATGGGTCTCCACTTCCCCAATACTGTTGTTCGGAACAGGATTTTTGCCTTTGACTGAATTATACTTATCACCTCTGCTTTTTATGCAATTCGAATTATTTGCAAGGTTTGATGTTACAGGTGTATCAGTAGAAGTGTTAGCTTGAAGTTTGTCGTTTCTGGAGGTCTTTACATTTGATGGCCTCACATTGGAAATAGGCTTTGTACGATCTACCATACAGTTGTTGGATGAGCTATGCTCTCCACTCCCATCTAACATAGGTATCTTATAGTTTACCACATCGGATAAAAAACTGACTGCTGCAATACCTGCCCGAACAAACTGGTCTGAGATGGGAGGTGAGGACTGCACAGTATTCTCAGCATCAATGCTACCATAAATAACAGATTCTACTCGCCCAGACACCGTAGATGCAGGTATGGCCTGTGGCCTAGAAACTGGAGAATCTAAAGTATCATTTTTTTTCGAGCTCACAACCTTCACAGCATCTCCAGATAATAAGGCACCTACTCCTACAGAGGCTTTTGAAACTAAGCTGGATGATATTTGCGGATGTCGAACCTCATTTCTGGTCTGCGGCCTTTTCGAAATACAAGTTTCATCTTCCGAACAAGTGCACGAACTTCCATCCGCTGCACTACATCGTGATCCGCTTAGAAAAAAGGACCTAGCTGACTGGGAGAGCGTGCCGAGATGCTTTGCCCGAAGCATAGTCTGCAAATTAAGTTGGAAAAGCCAGGGGAAAAAAGCTTTTAGACATGATTGAAATATAATGTAAATGTCAGATGCTCAGGAACTTCAAGGCAGCAGAGCAAGCCATAAATGACTTGTCGAAAGGCAAACTATTTGCCGGGCCAGTCAAGTGTCTATCATGGCACAGCAAAGTAAGAGTACAAGGTAAAAGTATGGATTCAAATACTCCTACACTATTAACTTGTGTTTCTACAAGAAATTCATAAATTGATGACTTCTCCATTCAAATCCTATGAGTATGATCCTATTTCTTGATTTCCTACTGTAGTTAATGCCACGTTACAAATTATCATACTTGCAATCATATACTCTTTCACTTAGCTTAATGGATTATGTTACTAAAAAATCTCAAATTAACATGTCCACAGCAGCAACCATCGTACACATGGCTAGACGATAGCAGTATTAATCACCTATCAAAAGTTTCACAGTACTAATCATCAGAAATTCCTCACTAGTGCAAGGACTGCCTTCTTACTAAGTCTTGAAATGCGCGACCATCACGATTACAGTAGACTTCAAGGGGAAAGTAGAAAGACAGAAAGGTTGAAACAACCAGCAATTCATACATATCTAAAATAGGAGGACTAAACTTACAAAAAAGCTGGGAACTGCCACAACTGTATGACTCACTTATAATAATTACAGGCTCAGTACTGGGAAAAGAGAATACTCCGTAGCAGCATGTTGAGGCAATAGAGAGCAAAACTTATGTTGTCATAGACTTGTCCGGTGTCACATGTCAACTACCTACGAGCACATCTTGTGTTTTATAGCAAGACAAGAAGATTGGTTACTTCTTTCTTTTTCTTTTTACTATCAAACAAGAATAATAAACCCCCTACAACCTTTAAAAGACATCAACGGAAAAGCATTTTCAGAAATCCAAAGCAGAAAATTTATCATAAGACCTTAATAAATGTTATTTTCTGAATGACAAAAACTAGTGTGTAAATTCACATCGATTTAATAATATAAACATTTCAAGGCATTTTACCTAATTAGTACTGTAGGAGCTAGTGAGTAGAGTCTAGTCTTTAAAAGTTCAAAAAGTTTCATGACACAGAACAGAAGAAATGCCTCTACTAATCTTTATCAGATTCAGGAAAAAATAGACAACATCTCACATTCTAAATCATCAATTCCAAATATTCTTACACCATTAATTCAATAGGATTAAAAAAAACAGCATGACCGTGAAAAGAAAAGGAAATAACATAGAAAACACTCACCATACCAACCAAGAAAAGATCAACGGCAACTCACATTACAGAAAAATTCAAGAAAATCCCAGTAGACCATCATTAACTAGTGATTCATCAAGAAAAAAACAAAAGTAGCAGAGGTCACCACAAAGAGCAAAGAGTCAAAGGAAAGAGAGAGAGAGAGAGAGAGAGAGAGAGAGAGAGAGAGAGTACCTGGGAATAGGTAGACGCGGCTCCAGAGCCACCAAAAGAATGAAAAGGCAAAAGAAAAAAGAATACAGAAGAAAGGGTTAAAGAGGAGGGCGGCTCTTTTTGCCGTCAGCTTATTTGAGTTTCCAAGCAACTTGGCGAAGGCAGCGGGGTTACAATGACTGTCAAGGACTGTATTTTTTCTTTTATTTTGCTTTTTCTTTTCAGATTTTGATATATTTTATACTGTTTACTTTACCCCACTTTTCTGATTTTTTGGCTATCCTCTGATATTAACTTGATCCACGTGTTCTGGTAATCTTGCCTTCACGTTTCAGAACTTACGATCACTCTGTTCTAAATAACTCCTCTATTTATTTCCTGCCAGTCTCACTTTTATTTTTTTTTAATTTAATTATAGGCTTTTGGACAAAAAAATATTATTTTAAAAAAATATATATATTTAAATTTAAATTAAAAAATAATATTCGAAATTTGAACATGTATTTCACCTGAAAAGAGTTACAGTTTTGTGAGTAAAAAAATAAAAATTTCTGAAATTTTTGAAAAAGTGATCAAAATCAATTTTTGATTTTTGAAAAACTTATTTTTGAATTTTTTTTAAGAAAACTTGTAAAGTTTTATAGACAAACATATTTTTTAAGAAAAATATTCTAAGAAAAAATATATCTATTGACAAACGGGTCCGCTTTTGCTCGGGTCAGTTTCCTATATTTAAGATATTTTGACTTTTGGAGGGTATTATTCAATGTACACTCGTTTTCTTCTACGGCCTTTTTTTAAATCAACTTGGAGTGTTTTACTGGGTTACTAGGTTATGACTTGGTAACTAGTCTTTTACTGTTTTATTATTCACTATTTTTTTTTACTTTTTTTTGCTTTTGCAAATGGAGGAATTTGCCGAGATTTCACAATAGGAATTACGAATCAAAAGTAATCACGGAAAATCAGTACTTGTATTTTTTGATTATTTTTTTTCTAATGGAAACTGACAAGATTTTTTTTCCACAAGAAAATACTAATTCAAAACTTAAAAAGCTTTTTCCTTACAACATGAAGAGAGTTACTATACTTTTATTTGGTTTAGTGCAATTACTATTCGGTGATGTTAAAAGTTGATCTGTCACTAATGAGAATTGCTGAGATAATAGCAATAATTTAGCAAGTACCAAGTAAAATAGTTGAGTTGTGCGAAAACGGATCCAAAACCACCAATAGCAAAGAAAAATATCTTAAAATTATATAGTATATTATATCTGTTTTTTGGTATAAAATTCTGCATCTTTAATATAATCTTTATATAATTAATAAGCATAAACTTTGATTTTCTTTATTTAAACTCATGTAAGTTATGAGGATTTATTACCATAATCAAACAATATATTAGAATACCAGTACAGTATACACGAACTCTTATTTAAAGAAAACGTCTAATGCATCCGCTGCTGTCAGGTCCTTAACGGGATTTGTTACCATAATGCTTCGAACCGATATGACAATGCTTACGAAACATGCCTTGGCCGTCAAGAAAGTCAATTTATTTTTCTCTAGGTCAAACATGGTAAATTAACAATAAGATCTCTTTCCTTATCATTTTTCTCTTCTTCCCTGCTAGATGTTTATATTTATTTTTGATCCTTATCTTTTGATCTTCGCAACTCTATTTCATTTTTTTATTTATTTAGATATTTTTCATTTTTTTTTCTTTGAGAAGGCGAAGCAAGCCGAGCCGTTTAAATAACGTAAATTCAGTTAAATTTTCTTCACGTTAAAAAACCTAATATCGTGGCACACTTTAGAATTTGTAACATTTATCATTAATTGAGTTCCTTACACAAAGTTAGTATAATGAAATAAAAAAATTGAGATGTGATATATTAACGAATTTTAGGAAAGTGAGATGATTGTAATATTGATAAAAGAATGCGCAGCGCGTTTATATTTGTGTCTCCCCAAAACAAAAACACAAATAATTAGTTCAATCAACATTGAAAGCTCACTTTAGCTAATTCTCTAGACACTACCCTCAAAATGGTAGAAACCTATGGACTCTTCCAACGGTCCTCTCAGGAGTTTGATCAAATTTTGTGTACATTGACACAAGTACACAACAAATGCTCTCTTTTACTATCATTTAAAGCCCCAAAACTATCAGTAAAAGAAAATTTTCACCCAAAAATTGCCCCAAATTACAAAAAAAAAAAAAAAAAAAAAAAAAAAAAAAAAAAAAAAAAAAAAAAATAAAAAAAATAAAAAAAATCAAGTTTCTAAAAACTAATTTGGGGCAGTTTTTGGGTGAAAAATTTCTTTCATTCACAACACTTCAATTTTTTTTCAAATAAAATATATGTCCAAATACAACTTCAACTTTCAAAAATTAATTTTCAGCACAACTTCAAAAATTCTTTTTTCATGTTTCAACCAAATTTATATCCAAACACTAGCTAATCTTGTCAAGTGTCAAGATTGTGTGTCCATTACATAGACGCTTAAACAATTTATTGGTCTAGTCAAATAAATTGGTTTATTGAACAATTAATTATTACTAATATCATATTTTCGAAGTACTAATAAGTAAATAATATCATGTCAAATACAATGTGTAACAAATCAGTTTTTCAACACTTCTATTACTTCAAAAGTGATAGAAAATTACAACTCAACTCAAAACCATTACAGGAATTAGAGATACTAAACTGAAATACAAAGGATAGAGAAGAAGGGATGAAAAGCTCAGAGCTTCAGACTAAGAATGGGGATGAGAGGATACAGACACTCAAGAAGGAAGATGAGGAGAAGCAGACATTATACTCAACAATACACATATCATGTATCTCCCCTTGGATCCCAAATATAACGTACTAGTATTCTATTTAGTTATTTAATCATTGGGTTTTTACCTCTTCGCCCGATAGTCCCAACTGGATTAGCCTCGTTCCACACTTCTGGCCCATAATCCCTTACCAAGTCAGGCTGGTTCACAACAATACTCCCGTCCTAAAAAAGAACCTTGTCCTCAAGGTTCGACTCAAGAAATGAAAAAACGTTATGAACATCAAGCCACAAAGTGAGACCAGACCAACGGGTGATGCCATATATCCATAAGTTACCCATTTTCTCGTGTTGCAACAACTTTCTATAAGGCTGAAAACTGGGTCGGGCCAGGCCCGCGGACTAAGTGGGCTAAATGGGGCAATCCCTCACCAAATGACGAGTGTTGCCACACTCAAAACAGGCTCTCGAAGGACGTGGCTGTTGCGACTGACTCGGGCATGATCAACTGGACTGCCCACTGAAAGCACCTAGTACAGGAGGCACACTAGACAATGGCAGTGCATAATAAAGATCTTGGGGCCTAGTAGTGGCCAGAGCACCGCTGACGGCTGGAAGTGCTGAATGAACAAGGAGACCTTTATAACCCCTGCGCTGACGAGCTGTCGCTGGGGCACGAGTACTATTGTAAGTACCAGACTCTCTAGACCTCTTGGCCTCTCTTTCTTCTCTATCCCGAGTCAGCATACCCTCCAACCTCCTAGCAATCCCTACTACCTGCTGGTAC